GTGCGTGCGTTTGTGTGTGTGTGTGTGTGTGTGTGTGTGTGTGTGTGGCTATAAGCAGCAGAGACCAGTAACCCTGTACATTTCCACCCCTCACCCTCTGTAGTGGAGAGAAAAAGAAGGAAGTGGGGGAAGGGGGAACAGAGGGGGGAGGAACAAACCAAGGTGAGTTGAATTTCACCACGTAAAGATAAAACTTGCTAAATGGAAGAAAGATTTGTTAGAAAGTTTTAAAAAAAAAAAACACGAAGAAGTGAAAAAATGATTGGAGCTGATTGTCATGGTTTACATTTTGTCTTCCTCTTTTGAGAATGTGTGCGGCTCATAGTTCTCATGCACACTGTATTAGGGGGCAGCTGGGTTGGCCCTGTGCTCTACACATGAGCCTGATTATGACTCAGTATTGCATTACTGACATTCCGCCATCACTCTCCCTCTTTTTCTCTTTCTCTATTCTTCTCCCTTACCCTGCCCTCTTCTTCTTTATCTCTCTCTCTCTCTCGTTTTCTCTCTGCCCACCTGCATCAGTACATCTACTCTTTTAACTGGAATACAGATAAGAAAAAATACTGCAGTGAACAAACAGAAGAATTTCACTTTGAGGGGGGTTTGGTTGTGTGTTTGTAGGGCACCAAAGCACTGGTGGTTCCCCTGGTAACCAACACTTCAATACTGAGGCTGAACCTGCAAGATAATTGGATGGAAGGAATGGGCGGAGCTGCTGTAGCTGAGATGTTAAAGGAAAATTGTTACATTACAGGTGGTTTTACTCGGCATTTAAGCGTGCACACATTTTTTCTCTTTTCCCTCACTCTGTCTCACCTTTTTCTAGCAAGAGTGCCACCCTGACTCCCACTCATACGCCACTCTCACCCCAATTATATGCCACAGCACACAATGTAACATCTGGGGTCCCTGTTTAATATTTGTTAAATGTCAGTCCTATGTACAGTTCAGGAACCTATGGGGGGATCTATGGAGAATGAGTCCTGTGAGTCATGCAGGCTGTTTCAGCTGGTGATATTTTTAACATCCTTTATAATGCACCTCTATTCAACTTTCAGGGGTAATCCAATTTTATGAATATACAGTGTAACAGATTAGTTGTCAATGTGGCCTGTATTTTGCTGATACTGCAGCAGACATTAGCCAACACACAATTTTAAAGAAAACCTATCTGATTTTAAATGAATGATTAAACAACAAATGAGAAGTCTGAAAGGTTTGAACAGTGACAACAAGGAATTGTCAGGAATTTTCTTTGGTGAGAGGATTGAACAGAAAGATTAACAAGAGAATGTTAAACACTACTAAAAACACTCATAACATAACAAGACTGCAGCCACACTAGAGACAGTGCTTTAGGCTAAATGGTAATGTCAGAATGCTAACATGCCCACAATGACGACCCTTTTCACCATTTTAGTTTTTGCGTGGTAAAATGCTAACATTTGCTAATTAGCACTAAACACAAAGTACAGCTGAGGTTGATGGTAATGTCATTAGTTTTGCTAATTAACATTTTGACCTGATGATGATCAGAAGGGATCGCCAAAGATATTACAGTTGATGAATTGTGAATCATGACATCACCCATCATAGTTTTGAAGCCTCACGTTTGCAGGTTGGTAACCTGCTGCACGTTTAGCTGTAGTCATTGGCTGTGCAGTTTTGACTCGTCTGTAGCAGGAAAAAAATGGCGACTTGCCAGGTTGCACTTCTCATATAATATATAATGATAAACAGTACACTAAAATTTTAAAAATTTTATTTTTTATTTTTTTATTTCTTTTTCTGGGGAGCCACTGGTCGGATTTGAGCCCTGGGCCGCTGCAGCAGGTGAGCTATCAGGGCACCACCTAAAATATGTTTCTGAAAAGATTTTAAGCGAGAAATAGGACCAGCTCCTGAAGCTGGTAGAAGGTCATGATATCTTTGACAAATTCCAATCTGGTTTTCGCCAAAAGCATAGCACTGAGACAGCATTACTGAGTGTCTAATGACATTCTTATGCATGCTGCCGACAAAGATGAAAGCTCCATTCTTATTCTTCTTGATCTGGACTGCAGCCTTTGATACCATCGATCATGCCATTTTACGGACAGATTACAGAACTGGTTGGCATTTCTGGTACAGCCTTAAATTGGTTAACTCCTACTTGACTAATAGAGTCTTATTA